GTCCCTTTGCCTTCTCCTCCTGCTTCCTCTCTTCCTGCTCTTGCCGACCCGGAGTCGGACTCTCTTCGTGCTGCCAGTCCTACTGTCACGCGTCTCCTTGCTACTGCCGTCACAGACCCTTCTTTCGAGTCTTCTGCTGCGTCTGCCCTTGTCACTGAGCTCGTTGACTTTGCTGCGCGCTGTCGTCTAGACTACGCTGCTAGTCTTGTCGTTGAGTCTGAGTTTGCCTGACCTCCGTCTGTTGGGGGTGAGTGTGCCCTTGGCACGGACATCCTTGAGGACAGGCAGGAGGAGTTCCAGTGTCTGGCCGCCGCTTCACCTCATCTTGCGTCTGTACTGCTCGCCCGTGAGGGAGACCCGGATGCACTAGACATCCCGACTCCGCGCTCTTACGCGGAGGCGATAGAGGGTCCCTACTCCTCTCAGTGGCAGGCAGCTATGGATACAGAGATGGCTTCTTGGAGGTCCACAGGCACCTACGTTGACGCAGTTCCCCCTCCCGGGGCGAACATAGTCAGTGGCATGTGGATCTTCAGGGTGAAGCGGCCGCCGGGTTCTCCGCCTGTCTTCAAGGCGCGTTACGTGGCTCGTGGCTTCAGCCAGCGGCAGGGAGTTGACTACTTTCAGACCTTCTCTCCCACCCCGAAGATGACCACTCTTCGGGTACTGCTGCACGTTGCTGCTCACCGTGACTACGAGCTGCACTCTCTCGACTTCAGCACTGCATTCTTGCAGGGCAGCCTGCACGAGGAGATCTGGCTGCGTCGCCCACCTGGCTTCACTGGGTCTTTCCCTCCTGGTACCCAGTGGAGTCTCTGGCGTCCAGTCTACGGTCTCCGCCAGGCGCCACGTGAGTGGCACGACACACTGAGGACTACGCTGGCGGCACTTGGGTTTGCTCCTTCTACTGCCGACCCGTCGCTGTTTCTGCGCGCCAACACCTCTCTGCCGCCGTTCTACATCCTCGTGTACGTCGACGACTTGGTCTTTGCCACAGCTGACACTACTGGACTCGCCTACGTGAAGTTCGAGCTATAGAAGAGACACACGATTACTGACCTGGGTGAACTGCGCAGCTACCTTGGCTTGCAGATTACCTGGGACAGAGCACGCCGCACCATTACCCTGACTCAGTCACACATGGTGCAGCAGGTCCTTCAGGGCTTCGGCTACACGTACTCCTCGCCTCAGGCCACTCCTCTGTCTACTCGCCACTCGCTCTCAGCTCTGCCTTCGGATGAGTCCGTAGAGTCGAGTGGCCCGTATGCAGAGCTTGTTGGCTGCCTCATGTACCTGATAACCTGCACACGACCTGACCTTGCATACCCTCTTAGCATTCTCGCACGCTATGTTGCTCTTGGGAGACACCGACCAGAGCACATGGCTGCAGCGAAGAGGGTGTTGCGCTACTAGTGTAGTACATCGGGCATGGGGCTAGTGCTTGGAGGGCGGAGTCCAGTGGTCCTCACTGGGCACGCAGACGCTTCTTGGGCTGACGACCAGGCTACGCAGCGGTCGTCACAGGGTTACACCTTCAGCCTTGGTTCCGGCTCTGTTTCGTGGCGGGCTACCCGCTCGTCTTCTATCCTCGGCTCCAGTTGTGAGGCTGAGATCTACGCCGGGGCTATGGCTGCCCAGGAGCTTTGCTGGCTCACCTACCTGCTGACTGACCTTGGAGAGCCGCCTCGTTTTCCTCCAGTCTTGTACGTAGACAACAAGGCCATGCTGGCCTTGTGTCGAGAACAGCGGCTGGAGTAAAGGACAAAGCACATTGCTCTCCGCTACTTTCTTGCTCGTGAGCTACAGCAGCGTGGACAGTTGCGACTTGCGTACGTGGCCTCTGAGGCCAACACTGCTGATGTTTTCACCAAGGCACTTGCGCCTTGTGATCATCAGCGCTGCTGCACGCAGCTGGGTCTTGTGCCTGTCTTGCCTCACTTGCTCACTTCTTGACCTTGCTTGTACCTTCACATATATATACTCTTGCACTTGCTTGCTTGGCTCTTGTATATCTCAGTATATGATCTTGCATGTGGACTGGCCTTCTGGCCTTTGAACTTGTGCTCGGAATGTGTGGTGACTTTGTGATCCACCCTGAGCTTTGCTTTGCTTTGCTTGACTGGTCTTGTGACCCCTTGTTCTCCCCCACTTTGCCTATGGGGGTGTGTCAGAACATTATAGGTTACTTATTTGTGTAGGCTATAGTGGGGTATCCTATAGGGGGTACAACCCAATTAGGGTTTCCTATTTGTACTCACTTCGTTCATAGTCATTTCATTCTCGTTCTATTCTTCTCATCAAGTAATTATCATTGCACCGATCAGCACGGTAAAAATATAATGCAAACATGACAACAAACTATTACAATGAAGGAAAATCATTCCCCAAAAGATAGTGAACAATATCTAAAACTTCTCAACATGCACAGTATGGGAAGGGTATTACTGTAGTTTACGAATTTTATTTTCGTGTTTTAATAAATATAAATATGAAAATAAAATTTGGCAAAATCGATTGTAAAGGGTTGCTTCGCAACTTAAAAAAAAAAAACGCGAATGGTCACAAATGAAACTCCCGCCTCAAAAAGATAATACCCAAAACGAACCTGGATACATTTTCGGATGAATCAACCCTAAACACAATTCGCCAGGTGTTTAGGGTTGATCCGTTCCCGAACCGTCGCCGTTTCCGATTGGTTTTTAGTTTTTTTAGAAGTTATCTGATTAGTTTGGCTGCGAGCGGGGAATTTTGTAGAGTTTCAAGAGTTTTTGGCGGGAGTTACATGTGTGACCTCTCGCGTGATTTTTTAACCTGTTTTGAGTTACTAAATCCGTGACCCCACTTACCAAGCCCGTCAGCAAACCCGATAGGGTGATCTCACGCGTTTTGTTTTTACCACTCACGTTATCGAGTCCCATATTGGTTACTCGTGACATAATTTCCCCGAAATTTAGCTACTTTGTTGATCACGACGCTACAGTGCTACACCCCATGCGCAAAACCGATCTTTTAGCCAATCGATCCGCTTCAGGTGACGTGTCCTTAGGGCGACGTCAGGTTGTACAACTTTTTGTACGCCCTCTCTGGTAAAATTCGTTTCAACACGGTGCAGAGCGGTAGTCGTCGAAAAATGCTTTTCACTGTGTGTAATGACCTGACCTCGCCCTTACGATTAGGCAGGGGAAAGTACATCCCAGCTCCTGTGTTTCGGAGTTCTCTCATATTTAGCCTCCGATTTACCAAAAGGCAGGTTTTTTTGGGATTTCTCTCATGCGAGGCCCAAAGTATGTTCAAAACTGGTCCTGCGGGACAAAATTTTCGACACGTGTCCATTTTCGCGTCAGTTTTTTTTCGACGGGGTTAAAACCAGAAAACCATTAGGGAACCAGGACACAATTTCGGGAAGGATCAACCCTAAATACGGGGACCCGCTAGGTGTTTAGGGTTGATCCGTCCCGCAAATGTGTCCTGGTTCCCGAGGAGTTTTATGTTTTTTGCACCCGTCGAAAAAAAATAATGCGAATTGGACACGTGTCGAAAAAAAATTCCCGCAGGACCAGTTTTGAACATAATCTGGGCCTCGCGTGAGCAAACTTCCAGAAAGTAGTACTTTTTTAGTGAACCTGGAGCTAAATATGAGAGAAATCTGAAACACAGGAGCTGGGATGTACTTTCCCATTAGGCAGTCTTAGGGCGTATCCCATGAGTTCATTTGGGTAGAAAATCATATTATTTACGTAATTTCGACAAAGCAAAAGAGTGTACACTCTGACGTGAAAAACACGCAGCGCGTCAGCACAGCGCCAAACGAAATTGACCCACGCGGAGTCATAGCCCCACCCACACAAAAATCGTCATCCGAACATGGGCCGCGAGCGGTAACCGGCCACAGTGCGAATCAACTGTGCTCTTTGCGAAGTTTAGTTTTTTCTTCGCGCGACTGAATGTGGGCGAAGTCTCTGATTGGGGTAACGTAATGGAGGACCGGTACGAAGTGATCTCACGTACCTTGTACGTGGGATAGTACGAACATCTTGACGTCCTAGGCGTGTCATCCGGTGCGTCATTGAATACGCATGTCATGCAGGGAAGGGTTTCAGACGGGAAACAGGGTTACAAAACTGAACTTGAACTGTAAACGAACTCGTGAGACACGCCCTTACCACTTCGTCAGCTGTTAGGGTAAGTATTCATGTCTATGGCACGAGGGTGAAGTAAAAGCGGAACTCTCTTCTGGAGGGTGACGGCCATTCACTTCCGGCGAGGCCTCCCGTTCGACGTCGAACCCTAGAAAATCGTTCCGAGTGTAGAACCAGTGATCACTGTCTCCTTGACGTTGCGCTTTAGGAGATCGCTGCGGATAGACAAGGTGATTGTTGTCGTCTTCTTGATGCGCCATGGCAAATCGAACGGATCCAAGGGCGCGAACGGTTCACGGCACGAACCCGCAGAATCTGGTGGAGAAGATTCTGCGCGCCAAGATCTATCAGAACATTTACTGGAAGGAGCAATGTTTCGGCCTCACAGGTTCGTCTTTTCGACTTCGAAAGAGGAATTGTTCATTTAATTTTCTTTTCTTTCGTTCTCATTGCGTCAGCTTTTCGTCGCCTTTGCCGATGAACTCGATGCTGCGTCCTCTTGACCACTTTCTCTCAAACACTGACCTTCTAACCCTTAGACCTCGAGATTATCGGATTATCGTTATGTTCCGCCGTTTCCGCCCTCCCCCCGGCCCTCCCCTCCCCGCCTCCCGATACCTTTCGTGACCTTTGTCGCTGTTTCGCGTTGCGAGTTTCGGTTCCGTCTCTTCCTGTCTGCGTTTCTTCACCCTTATTTCCACTTATGCCACTTGAGTTTCTTGGGTAAATATCGTTTTCCCGGTTCCCCTGTTTTCGTCCCCGTTCCTGCAAGCAATTAAATTTCTGTAAATAAAAACCCTTCATTTTTCGTGGTGTTTCCTCCGTCTCTTCGCGGCAGCTGAAACCCTGGTCGACAAAGCTATGGATCTGGACCATTTCGGAGGAACCTTCGGAGGAAATCGCAAGCCCACCCCGTTCATGTGCCTCATTCTCAAGATGCTTCAGATTCAACCCGAGAAGGAGATCGTGGTCGAGTTTATAAAGAACTCAGATTACAAGTGAGTACGTTACTTGATGTGTCGACGGTCACATCTGCGTGGTTTTCAAGATTCTTCAGTTTTTATCGTTTTTTTCGGGGATGCGAGTTGGGCTTTTTAAGGGGCGACGACGCTCTATTGTTGGAATTTTGCAACCTATATCGTCTCCTTCCTTCCTTCCCCCCCTCCCCTCCTTCCCGCCTCCCCCTTCCACTCCCCGCCCCCCTTATACCCCTCAGGTATGTGCGGTTGCTTGGAGCGTTCTACCTGCGGCTGGTGAGCAAGCGCATGGACGTGTACCAGTACCTGGAGCCACTCAGCTCAGACCTACTCTTTCCATCACCCAACTCTCATACCTGCCATTCCCCTCCTCTCTCCCATGCACCCCCTTCCTTTCTCCGCAGGTACGTTCGCCTGCTTGGAGCGTTTTACCTGCGGCTGGTGGGCAAGCCAATGGATGTGTACCAGTACCTAGAGCCGCTGTACAACGATTATCGGAAAGTGCGGAGAAAACTGGAGAGTGGAAGTGAGTTATTTGTTCTCGCCTATCTATCGTTATCGTTGTAAGTTCTAGGTGTGTCTAGGTTTGTATATGCGCTAGCCTGGGAGCCACCAGGGACGTGTACCAGTACCTGTGAAGCCACTGTACAACGACTGTCGAAAGGTTCGAAGGAAACTGGAGAGCGGAAGTGAGTTCCCATTCTTGTCCATCGTTATCCTTGAGAGGTCTCTAAGTGTGGGCTAGGTGTCTTAAGTTTCTGAGTGTGCTAGCCCGAAAGCCACCAGGGACGTGTACTAGTACCTGGAGCCTCTGTACAACGACTACCGCAAAGTGTGGAGGAAACTGGAGAGTGGAAGTGAGTTACTGCTCTTGTCTTTCATTATTGTTGAGAGGTTTATTTGGGTAGGTTTCAAGTGCTCTAGTGCAGAAGCCATTTCGGACGTGGAGCCAATTCTAAGCGGTATAAACTCGTACCTGGAACCTTTGTACAAAATTATTAAGGAGCTTCTCACACTCGACTCCAGTCACAACATCGCTTCACCACTCCCCCTTTCCCCCTCTGCCCCACCCCTCCCCCCCCTCCTCGCACTACCTCGTGCCTCCAGCCTTTGTGTTGGAGGAGTTTATCGAGAAGCTCCTCGCACGTGGACGAGTTTATCGAGGAGCTTCTCACACTCGACTCCAGTGTGACATTGCTTACCCCCGCCCGTCCCTCCTTTTCCCCATCCCCCTCCTTTCGTTCCCCTCTCCCCCCATCCGTGCACTACCCCACACCTCCAGTGTTAGTGTTGTCGCATGTGGACGAGTTCATAGAGGAGCTTTCTCACGCTCGACTCCAGCTGTGACATCACCTCACCTCTCTCCCCAATCGCCCCCCCCACTCGTTCCCTCCACTCCTCCCCCCCACTCGTACCCCCCACTCGTCCCCCCCACTCGTCCCCCCCACTCCCCCTTTACTGTGCACTACCCCACACTTCCAGTGTTTGTGTTGTCGCACGTGGACGAGTTCATACAGGAGCTTCTCACGCTCGACTCCAGCTGCGACATCACCTCACCTCCCTGCTCCCCCATCACCGCCCGCTCGCCCCCTTCCACCCTTTATTTCCCCCTAGTGTTTGTGTTGTCGCATGTGGGACGAGTTCATAGAGGAGCTTCTCACGCTCGACTCCAGCTGCGACATCGCATTGCCTCGCATACCTCGCAGGTATGAGGCTTGCTTTGATTCTAACCTTGTTCTCTGTGGTCTATGTTTGCACGTGTTTTGCTCATGGTTCGAGCCCTTTTTTGGTTTTTTTGTCTGTCATGTATTTACATAATTCAATGTGCAAGTCTTCCGGCAGTTTTACTATCTGGTGTTTTTTTTATCTTCTTTTTTCCAGATGGACGTTGGAAGCAGCAGGGCAGTTGGAGCTGAGAAAGAGTGGGTTGGATTATGACGAGATGGAGGAGGAAGAGGAAGAGGAGGAAGAGGAGCCAGAACCAGTTGCTGATAAGGTACGACCTAGTCCTCTTTCCGCTCCTGTTGAATGCACGGATGAATGCATGAGAAAGATTCCTAATTCATTCGTGCATTCCATGTATATTCTCTTTGTTTCTTTTTACAACCTGTTTTTGTTTCGAATTTCTCCCGTTTTTTGTCCGCACATACATGTGTGTCCAGGCTGAGGAGAAAGATCGGTATCGGGGAAAGAGAGGGTGACCGAGACAGGGACAGGGACAAAGAAAGAGATAGGGACAGGGACAGAGACAGAGACAGAGACAGAGACAGGGATCGAGACAGGTATGTGCCACTGTATTCAGTATCCCACTGTACTCAGATAGTTTATTTCAGGTACTTTTTGTCTTTGTTTTCCTGAGCAACGTTTGGTAGTGTTTGCAAAGTGCCCATAGCTATTTGTTGTTTGAATTCCGCTCATTAACTCGATAGGGAGAACAGCCGACTGTGCATTTTCTGGGAAGCATCCTCTTGGGAAGCGTCCTGAAGCATGCTGCAGTTGTGCGCGCAAGGCGGCAAGAGCTCATCTTTTCTAGGCAGTCCTTCAATGACTTCTTGTCATTGCAGGCTGCCTTTCCCAGATGGCCCACTCACTCTTGTCCCTCGTTTTTTTCATGGACGAGGGTTGCCTTTGTGTCATATGTTCTCCCAAGAACAACCTATTTTTGTACTCCTTATAGAGTTCTTCAGAGCTCCTTGAGTGTGCAGTCATGGGTATCAGTGCTTCCAGGTTTCCCAGTGCTGGCAGTGCTCTGAGAGAAGTATAAAGCACTGAACATCATTGGGTGTTTTTTGGTGTGGTTCATAGATGAATAAAGATGAAATGAGTAGCGTGAAGTGCGCTTAAGGTCAGATCTGTACACCAATAACATCTCTCTGTTTGTTGCCTCTTTGCTTCCACCTTTGCAGGGACCGGGATAGAGACAGGGACAGAGTAGGCAGGGAGAGAGAGAGAGAGAGAGACAGAGACAGAGACAGGGACAGGGACAGAGACAGGGAGAGGACAGAGACAGGGAGAGGGACGGGATAGGGATAGGGACAGAGATTGGGCAAGAGACAGGGGGTAGGGAGAGAGACAGAGACAGGGACAGGGATAGGAATGGGGGAAGAGACAGGAGCAGGGAAAGAGATAGGGGTAGGGATAGGGAGAGAGACAGGATGGGACAGGGACAGGGAGCGGGAGCGGGATAGAGACAGGGACAGGGATGGTGATTCGAGGAAACGCGATCGAAGAGATGAGGCGGCTGACGAGACCAAGTAAGTATGCTTCCATAGGGTTTACATCACCAAATCTCTACACAGCACACATATATCCTTTGTTGTCACATAGTCGTTGTGCTGCATACATTGTTTCGTTTTAATGTGGCAGGGAGAAGAGAGCAAGAAAGAAAGAGAAAGCAGCAGATGGGACAGATCATGAGGATCCTGAAATCGCGGAAGCCAACAAGCTTCGTGCGAAGCTTGGATTGAAGCCGCTTCGTGCTTGATTTTTTTTTTTCATAAATATATCCTTGTTGGAAAATTGTTGTTTTGCTCGTATCAAATCTCCAGAACGAGAGAAGGTCGAACACATGTGATCTGGCCTGACAGTCACAATGCTTCCAGATTTTATTCATATATTACTACCAGTATATCCTGAATCATTGTCAGTGTTACACTGAAATGAGTCAGTTCAAAAAGTTGAGTCCTTTTCCTGGCAGTGGCTGCTTCACGGGGATGCGCAGCGCTTCCCTCAACCCTGCCAGAGACCAAGTGCAGAGGGCTTTCTAGGGTTGGTCACAGATGAATCGCTTCATGCCATTTCCTGAAAATCAGATTCGGTACACAAACAGACTGTATTATCCAAGGTCACGATTTTGGGACGATTCTGGACGCTGTGAGGCAGAATGTCGTTAACAAACCTGCCGCCTTCCCTGAACGATATCTCGAACCAGCTTGGTAGAAGCTTCACCCAGTTGAAGTGAGTCGGTTGAATGAGGTGAATATATAGTACGCTTAGAACCTATGCAGAGTTTGACACTCTTTATCTGTTCCAGGACCACCTTCTCAAAGATTGACAAGTGCGAAGACCCTTCTCGACAAAGCCAGTTGCTGGAAGATGTCACGCCTAAACTTAGAGAGTGCAGAAGGTGGATATGAAAACTCTGCCGTTGCGTCGAAGTTACGTAGTCGCGTTACTGAGCAAACGGATCTTATTGCAGGTTGATTCAGGAATTCGAGCGTGACATGAAAGACCAAGAAGCTAAGAACTCACCAGAAGTTAACAAATTGCTGCAGGAGAAGAAAAGGAACCTTGTGAAAGATTTGAACGCCTTCGTCACTCTCAAAAAAACGTTCGTACATGGTGTAATCATTCATGTCATTACCCCAGCTCTAATCATGAGGCTGTTTTTGCAGCTACCAGAGCGCTATCCAGGAAGGCCAGAAGGTGAAGCTGAGCGAGGATGGGAGAACGGCTGAAGTTGTGGGAGCTCCCAGGCTAGCATCTGGTAACAGTTCCTTCCTGGTTGACGTATGAATTTCCATCTGGCTCCGCAGCCGTACTGATCTTTCATTCCTGATCTCCCTGCAGCGATGACAATGCTCAGCTGATGGAGGAGGGCAATCGTGTGATGGGACAAGCGGACCAATCTGTTCTAAGATCCAAGCAGGTTCTTTCTTGCTTCGAAGACCTTTGTCGAAGGCGATGCATATGTTTATTACCGTATGTGCTTTTCGTGTTTCAGGTAGTTGAGAACACTATCAACATTGGAGCAGCAACGGCCACGACTTTGAAGGACAGGTATGGCGCTGAAGATTCTGCCTTGTAAGTGCGGTGTTCTTACTCTTGTGTGACGCGTGCAGACCGAACAAATGGAACGGATTGTTGATAAGCTTGACAATTTAGAATTCTCCCTTAAGCGGGCAGCCAAGCTTGTGAAGGCATTGGGCCGACAGGTGAGTCAGATGATGGTGAGTGCTCTCTTTTCCCTAAACCATGCGACCTGCTTAACACAACCACTGAAGCAGATGGCAACAGATAAATGCATCTTGGCAATGCTGGCGCTTGTTATTCTTGGAGTGATTGCCATCATAATCGTCAAGGTGAGTTGGGGCCTTTGCTCCAGTGACTATCCCTGACATCTTCGCCTGAACTAACTCTCAACTGGTTGCAGATCGTGGACCCGCATAACAAGAAGCTAAGTGACTTGGGTCCCCAAGCTCCTCCAGCTTCAAACTGAATCTTGTCTTCGAATGTTATCCAGTGTACAATGTCATCATTAAGCAGAAACATTCACTATATTACAAGCAGCATATGCTCCCATTCCCGTTTAAGACCCCGTTCCTAGTTGCAATCCACGATATGCAGTTACAGCACAATTCCTCTCACATCACCCCCATGACGGTACTTCACAAGCAAGAAGAACTCCACGGGAATGATAAGATAGAACTACAAACCGTAGTAAAGGGTCTCTTGCTGCCCATTCACTATCAGGGTGAAGGTTGCCGCCAGGTGATCACCTGACATGGTAGCTCCCACCAGAGCAGCCATAAACTTCTGCAGTCCCAAGACGCCGGCCGTGGTAGCAGCTCCCCGCGGGGATTTTCACGTCGACAGTCTTGGAGCAAGTGAACACTCCCTTGATGTTCGATGTGAAGGGGCATGCTAGGGTGAGAGGGGCAGACTTGTCGGCTCCGACCTGACCCACCAGAGAGACCTTTGAGTTGGTGTTTACGCCCTTGGTGAAGGCCAGGTGCACCTCGAGAGTAACCTTGGTGTTGCTGCTTGACGGGCAGAGAGAAGGGGCAGAGAGAGGGTGCAGGAAAGAGGGGGGACAGAGAGAGTGGGCAGAGGAGGTGCAGATAGGGGTGCAGCAGAGGGGGGGCAGCAGGACACAAGAGGTAAAGCAGGTGAAGGGAAGAGCACAAGCTGAGTTTAGTTTCACGCCTCTGATGAGGGCCAGGTGCTCTTCCAGGCTGACCTTGGTGTCGCTATATGGCGGGGGGATAGAGGGGAGGCAAAGAGGGGGGCAGAGAGGGGGGGCAGAGAGAAGAGGGGGGGCAGCAGAGGACACAACAAGTAGAGCAAATATAAGTCGATTTGCTTGCTTGTAGTCTTATATTCTCGGAAATTTGTCATTCTAGGTTTCCTCTCTGACCAGCCTCACCATCCCAAACCCCTCGAATGCAGCCTCTGGATTGGCTTTCGCCGTTACCACTCTCATCGCAATAGATGTTCCGAAATTACGAACTCACGTGCTGGTGGCGATGCGGATCTTGGCTCCCCCAGCCACGGTCCCCGAGAACATGGCTTGGAATCGGCCGCCTGACATGGATGGCAGCACTGCGAGGCCTGGCACATGGGAGGGGCGGATGGGCGCATTGGGAGAGTCACAACGGGAAAAGGCGGAATGGGGGGGGGATGCACGAGGAGGGGTGCATCAGGGGGATTGCAATGGGAAGGGTGCATTCACAGAGTCCGCCGCAACGCAGTATAACTTGTTCTGTCACGAGTAATCATAACGAATGGATGGAAGAAGAACACAATCTGCTTTGCCGGATTCATAACTAGAGCGTCCGTACCAGTATCGAGAGATCCGATCTTCGCTAGCGATCCTGACGCGGTAATCGCGTTGCCGTTCACATCCGCGTGCGACACTTCGGCCCCGACACCAATCAAGGCGCTTCCTAGAGCAATGGCCCCCCAGTCGAGCCTAGTCAGGTCCCATACACCC